CAGCGTCAGCATCGTCGTCATAATGATCCAAATCATTATCACTTCCCGTCGAATAGTCAAACGAAGGGGTTAGGGATCGACGATAACGTTTCTGTTCCTGTTCGATTGCACTCAACCTCCGCATCACTGTTTTGAACATTGATTTAATCTCAGAACTATCCAAATGTTTTCTGTCTGAGCTCCTTGGTCGTTTTGTACTTCTGTCCGCCATTATGCACAATAAATTTCGGAAGCGATAGCGTATCTATGTGATCCGTAATACACAAAAACGAAGACTTAAGCAGCGAGGCACCTGAAGGTTCGGAGTGGGGTGCGGTGTTGCCAGATGCAGATTTCTTTAAAAATTGTGGTCCGGAAACGCAGAACGGAGGTACTACAGACTTCTTTATTTAGGAGACGGGACCGTAATATAATTAAAAACAATTCACAGTGACTACCGGTTACGAGGCCTGGATAGGTGACACTGGAAATGCTATTATTTTTGCGCTTACGACAAATAGGTATGCATGTCTATAAGCGTCAGTCAACTTCATTTACTGCCCTTTTTAAATTTTGACACTAATATATTTTTTCATAATTACAATCACGTTATTTAACCAAAATAGTTATTACACTTTGTCTATTACTTCATATCAATTAAATTTCCTAGTTTATCAACGTAAAAAGGCAGTAAATTTCTAACTACACTGCTTTTATTCTGTCTGTGACACAAGAACTGCCTTTTTAACCTTTATTACCTATTACGATTTTTACTTGTTTAGTTAATTTTATGTAATAAATCTATCATTTGTGAATAAGTGTTGATCATCATAAATAATTACTTTTGCTGCCAAAGAGTAATTTTGAAATCATATAAGAAAACATGTTGTTTTTAGTTTTTGTTGAATGTAATTATCAAATTTAATCATATAATTACATTTACAATTATATAAAAGCTCATGAAGTTGCAGCCCCAAATTTACTCCGAAAAGAAGGTTTGCTATTTGTTCATGTCGAGCTTTCGGAAATGCTTATTGCCATCAGGACGCACTACAAAAACAATTGAACGACAGCTTAGGTCAAATAATTGATTCACGTATTTTACCTGAAGATGTTGTTCCTCCCCTCTACAAGAATTATAAATCTACTTTGAAAAGGTAAGTTTTCAATAAATGGCGCAGTAGCCATATGAGGATATAGTTGATGAGACACTAAACTTTTCATAGTAGATCTGTTATTGGTATCGCAAAATCTGTATTAGGATTGGTGATCACAGGTAGAATATGTCAACCAATAGTATATTTGAAAAACTACTTACAGGGTTAAAGATTCAGGAGAAGGAGTGAGTTCTCTACTCCCCAACCTTGTTCGAAATATCTATAGAATGAATGTAGGATGTGTGTTTTTTTCCGATTTAGTTAATCGCCTGTTTTACCATCCATTGAGAATGTGATGATTGTTCAATTGCCATTATCACTACGATGAATCATGCTTTAATGTCCCGGTTCATTTTTCTCATACACTATTCCAATATCACGGCTTGTTCCACAATAAAAGACTGAGATGCAAAAAACGTTTTTTCCAGAAGAAACATTCATGCCGAGCGAGAAGTTCTAGCCTATAAAGATCAGTATGAGATTCGAAGTTCATCGGAAGAGCACTATAAACCTTCAAATTAAATTATACTGGAACGGTATTATCTGCTAACACACTTATACAATTTGTAACGTTAAACTTAAATAACTTTCCCGTGTTTTGAAGTAGAACAGATTAAAGTTTCCAAACGAAAATGTGAAGGCATCGACACAAATGTCCAAACCAAACTTTGTCAAGTTCTGAAAAAGTTACTGGCTTAGAAAACAGTTGTATTTCTTCTTCTGTAGGGGTAAAGTTGCCACATTATTTTATGCTCCTCGTTTAGTTCAGGAAATGTATATTGCTTGTGCTGATTTGTTCAGATCACATTTGTGTTGTAATACAGGGTGGCCCATAAGTCCTTTGAGCTGGAAAAAAAGGAATAAAACCAAACTAGTTACATTATGAAGAATTATTATATTTTGTTATCATCTTTATTGAATGGGAATTATGTTTTAAAAATCACATCGTCTAAATGCAATCCATTACGATCACGGCACTCATATAAAGACGTCTAAAATTGTCGATGACTGCGCGGCAAGTCAACACTGTAATGCTTGCCATTTCTCTTCGGATATTTTCTTTCAGGACATCAACTGATCGCGGAGTGGTGTCGTACGCTTTACTCTTGAGGTAGCCCCATGAAAAGAAGTCCATTGGGTCAAATCTGGACTACGTGGTGGCCAGGAAATGTCTCCTCTTCGAGCAACTACTTTGCTGGGAAAAAGTTGACAGACGACGGGCATAGAAGTGTTGCAGATGTGGGCAGTTGCTCCGTCCTGTTGAAACCAGGTCTGCGTACTATAGCCTGGAAAACTCTGCAACGATAGTGTCAAAAACTCTTCTATCATTGCTAGATGCCGCTCCGAAGTAACAGTTAATGCGCGACCTCTGTCGTCCTCAAAAAGTAAGGGCCTACGATGCCATGCGCTGACATAGCAGCCCAAACTGTAACTTTAGGGCTGTGTAAGGGCTTCTGATGCTTACGCCTTGGATTTTCGGGGCTCTAATAACGGCAATTTTGTTTATTTACATGCCCGTCCGAGAACAGCACATTATTGAGCGAAGAAAATCGATTCAACATTTCATTCGCAAAGTTTAGTCTCTGAATAGCGTCATTATCTTTTAATTCCTGCACTAACTGAATTTTGTAAGCGTGCAGATGTAAATATTTCCTTAAAATCCGCTGTAAAGATGTTCTGGGTACGTTTAGTGCACTGGAACGCTTACGAGTAGACTGGGTAGGATTTTGACGAACAGACTGTGCCACAATGTTGATGTTTTCTTCAATACGAGTTGTCCTTGGTCGACCCCACCGCAGTTTATCTAACGTCGAACCAGTCTCTTCGAACTTAGCAACCCAGTTCTTAATCGTTTGAGCTGTTGGACACTTTGTAAAATTGTGTAAATTGTGATATTCTCGATATTTACGCCGCGCAATGGTTGCCGAATCATTATTTTGATAAAACGCGCGCACACAAAAAGCACGATCCGCTCCAGTGAAACACTCCATGGCGACTGAATTCCCAGACACTGAAGATACTGCCCCCACCTCGCCCGCGCCGCTCACGCTCACCCGTTAAATTTTATTCAAATTTGAAATTTCAAAGGACTTATGGACCACCCTGTATTTCCCCTATTTTGTAAATAATAATAATAAAAATAATAATAATATACGACTTCTTATTCAGGCGCAGTTTAGCTACAAGCTATTCCACTACTTAACCCTTAAATACAACTTAAATAATCTCTATCTGAGATCGGGGCATCTCAAGTGACTCATGGAAGATTCTGAATAACCTTTGAAGGCACAATTTCTGCCAAAAATATTTATACAGGGTGTGATAATAATTTATCCACATTAGCATACATGGTAAATAAATTTCAATCCAGAAAAGGATATCGTGGAAAATAAAAAAAAATAAATAAGAAGATTAAATAGAAAAAATGTTGGTTACCAAAACAAATAACCATGATATGTTATACAGCGTTATACAGCGTATGTGGCGTTGTGAATCAGGAATTTTAACTTTATTATTAGCATACACGTTTTTTTTACTCAAAACGGGTGCATATGTGTTAATATATTATAATTTCGAATTTTCCTCAACCAACTCTTCAGTTTCTTTTTGAACTTATTGTTATTATATTTTTTAATTTTTGCTGGTAAATTATTATATAATGGTGCAGCCTGATAGATAAATGATTTCAGCATGATGTCTTTCTTGTCTTTCTTTGGGGTATTTAAAGTAATTTAAGAGATCTTGTTTCTCGTATTATATTCATAATTCTACAATTTTAATTTTGATTTTTATGTTGATGTATCAAGATACTTTTAATATATAATATTTGTCTGTTAAGAATTTCTGTTTCAGCGTACAAAAATTCAGATGGGTGTAATAGAGGTTTTTTGTATATTACTTTTAAAATAGATGTTTGTGCTGTTTCAACAAATTCTATTAGTATCTTATTTCAAGAGCCCCAAACTGTCATTCCGTAAGTTAGGTGACATTATAGCTTGGATTACTTATAACATGTCCATTTTTCCAAAATTTGTTGTTTATTTATTAGGATTCACTTTTTAGCAGTCAAAGATAATACTGAACCTTCGTATTACTGGAAGACTATACACAGTAGTGACGGGTGGAGTGTTTACGTGAAAGTGTACACTGGCGCACATAAATCGAATAATGCTGCTACATGTCAATGAAAACTTTGGAAAAATACTCAAACTAAGTTTCAAAAACATGAAAGTATAGCACATACTCCAAAGAAGTAGCCAACGGCTCTATTAAGGTAGTATCTGAGGACCACACATTTGGCGCAAAGCCAATTATTCAACTTAGCTTTTAAATTCACCTAATTTAACTCTGTCTGGGATTTTCTTTTGGGGATATTTGCATTAAAGTGTTTTTATCAATCAGCCAAGAAATATTACATACCTGAATGACAACATCCGTAATCGAGTGGATGTCTTAAGGCCCAAAATCTCGCGCTAGACTACGGAACACCCTATGGAAGAACACTTGTTCTAGAAGCACAAAAGGCCAACACTTATAAGATGTTATCAATATATCCTAATTTCCTATTGCCGTATAATATTGCAATAGCAAATTCGTTTTTAGTAATCGCTAAGTAAAAAAGTTAGAAAGATTTACATCTGTTACGCTAATTTGTGCACACTAAACTACTTTTCAACAAATCACGAGTAAGAAGCATCAAAAGATCTAAGGCAACTTACTATTCACCTCGAATGAAAAAAAAAACGCAATTCTAATTATCGCCGGTCGACGAATTGTAATCGGTTTCGAAACATGCTCGAAAATTTCTGCGAAGACTGTCCAAATAACCCATAAGCATATCCGTTATCGAAAAAAATGGTGCAACAATGAGGCCCTCCTTAGTATTCCGAACGTCCACATAGAAAGTGTCTATCTGATTTTGGAGGCAGTATAAAAACTGCCCGCGGCCAAATTTCTATTATCAGTCGATCGTGTTATCGCAAACACTAACTACAAACTAAACGAAATGGCGTGTCAGGTAGGTTGACCTGTGTTGTGCATCTTTCATTAGTGTGAAGCAATTTTTAGACGTTCGGGCATTGTCCGTTATAAAGTAAATTTTCTGAAGTGGTCAGTGTTCAACAAGTTCTCATTTCGGGGTGAACTGGTGATACGGCTAAAAGGACTGTTGGGATGCTTCATCATTATTGTGTGTGGAGTGCCAAGTACATAGTTTTGATACATCACGCTTGCAACTGGAATATTGTCTTGAATGAATATATATGTATATATATACAGTGTCCCACGTAGAATTGCTCGTAAAGTATATTATTCAATTTTTGGATGCTACGCGGAATTCTAAAAACATTTTATCCTCATGTGAATACCAGCTCTCTATTTTGTGGGCAATATTTTCTGTGATACCTACAAATCCGCTAAATATAGAGTGACTTCCTATTGATATTTCAAAATTGAAAGAATTGCTCATACATTGTGGCTTATTTAAGCCCACTACAACACTATTATACAAATGGCACAAACAACAGATATTTTAAATTCATACATTTCACGTCCTAGTAAACAGAATATATATCTAATAAGTAGTAGGCAAGTGTTAATAACAAGATTATATCATACAACTAATAAAAATAAATGCGTTTCTTGGTCAGCATTTATGAGGTTAACCGCAATAATCATTGTGTTCAAAAATCGTTTTATCAATCTGCATCGACAATATTTGTTACTTTTTTCTTATTGTGCAGTTTCTACGATGTACTGCTACCATTGAAATATTGTATTATATATACCCTCTAAAAACTGTAATAAAATATTTAACTAGATCGCTTGTCAGGTGGATTTTACGATGCTAGAGCAGTTAACCTGTCAAACTACGTAGCATCCCATAAATTGAGATACGTGGGGACGATAAAGGGTCTATCTTTTCCTGCAATATTCTGGATGATATACGCTTGCCATTAAAAGAGTGATGAAACGTGATCAATCCGTGGTGAAATGAGAATAAAAAGTAAATGAGCAGATAAACAGCTCATTTGGGTCAGCTTAGCGCCTATACAATCCTTGCCAAAGCTTTCGTGTGCTTGTTTAGCTTTCTTTTTTTAAGCCTTTTCAGTATCAGAAGTGAGAGTATATTACTAATAGCCATACAAAGCACATCCTTTTTAGCATAAAAATTGCCGCACTCATATATATACCTATATCGCTCTGTCTTTATACTAAATCAGGAGTTATGGAGACTTGCTCCTGTTTGTCAATAAACTCTTCTGCCTGCCTTATCGTTGGCTAGCATTTCACTCTTTCATGGATTCTCCGCAAGTTCGTTCAGCCCTCACGATTTAGTCATGCCATAAGAGAGATAATGTGCCTATTAGACTCTTGTACGCGCCTTTTTGTGTTTGGTAGTCATCCTTTTGCTTCTTCTATGACTTTGACGTTTTTTTGCACAAACTTCAAATGCTTTGTTCCTTCCCTGTTCTACTGCATCTAAAGATTCCCATACGAAAACATGGATCAAAGATGTTTTTATCAGTTGCTATTAACTCCATCGTCCAAGCTTGAGATCTTAAACAGAAACATTTTGTTTTTCAATGTCGTCGACATAAGACATTGGAAAAATATTTCTTATTGCTTTTCCTAGAGATACGCTTTCTTCACTTGTCCTTAAGAGAAATGACCGACAAGCATCCCCCTGCTGTGTCTATGCGGTAATTACCTACGTTGACTTTGCGTCCTGCACGGACCGTACTTTAACATACCTATGCTTTACGACTCCATATATTCTCTATTATATTGTAGCGTAACATCTGACACTTTATCACTGCAACACATCACAGTGTACAACCGGCTGTTTGGCAATTTAACTACCAAATTCATTTTTTCAAAATTAATTAGGTCTAATTTTACAGCTAAAGATTGTTTGTAATGAGAAAGGAGGTTGTTCGTTACTTTACCCAAACATTAAAGCTAAAATTTAATATTGGGACTGTTTTGGAAGTTATTTTTTTAAATACCTCTTTTGGCATTTTGATACATATTCTGTAGTATTCATTCTGGTCCACCGTGTTTGATCTGGCAGCTATTACCAAAAAAACACATCACAGGGATATAGTAATAGTATTATAGTGCTAGCAAAGGCAAAATTGGAGAAATAAATAAGCTTCGCACTGCAGTCACTGTAACCTTTGGCTCCAGTTTTACAACTTATTCATACGCATGTCAATATCTGGCAATAAATTGTTGGGCACATTTGATGTAAGGTATGTCAAGAAAATGTACTGTTACTTTAAGTGGATAAATTGCAATAAACATTTAGAGGTCACCATTGTCGCATCACAACGGTCGTTTTATGTATTTTTCATTTTCGTGCTCAACACTTCAGCTGATACGGGGCTCACTTGGAACCCATTAGGATTCAGCGGTCTGTTATTCCTAATGTCCTCGACTTTTTGTATTTTGCCTGATAACACTTCAAGTATGCCTTGTCACAGGCTAGCATACTACTTGTCTCAGGGTTGAAATCACCTCAAATCTGTCGATAGAGACGTATTCGCTACTAGACTTCTGTCGCATAATACTTGCATCAGTATAATCTTATTTTTTTTTTTAGTACATCGTCCTTGCTGCCTGCGTGGCCATGTTGAAGGGAGGAGTCGTCAGCGCTAGCGCTGTCGTAGCCGCCCCGCTGGCCGCCCCATTGGCAGCTGCCCCTGTTGCTGTCGCTAGGCTGTCGGACGCAACCATTGATCCCAACCCGGCTTACTCATTCGCCTACGACGTCCAGGATGCTCTAACAGGAGACTCAAAGTCGCACATCGAAAGCAGGGCCAACGGCATCGTCAAGGGACAGTACACCGTCGCTGACCCTGATGGCACCAGGAGGATTGTAGACTACTACGCTGATCCCATCCACGGATTCAACGCTGTCGTTAGGAAGGCTCCCCAGGCTATCATCGCGAGGGCTGCTCCTGTTGTCGCTCCTGCTCCCGTCCTGAGGGCAGCTCCCGTTCTAGCCCCAGCTCCCGCGCCTGTGGTAGCTCCCGTAGCCAGGGCTGTAGCTCCAGCGCCTCTGTTCGCAAGGTCGATTGCTGCTCCAGTTGCTGCACCTTTTGCCAGGTTTTCACCCTATCTGGCCGCACCAGCGCCGGCGCCATATTTGTTTTAGATGATTGACTGATGCCTGGTTATGGGAGGGAATAGAATCTTAATTTGATTTGACTTTGGGCTACCAAGGTTGATCATAGAAGCTTTCATATTCCTTCGCTGTATACACCTGTTTTTGTACACTGTTTTTATACTTATTGTAAATAAATGTTTGCTTACTACAAACGTTGCTTACTTTTCTGATTGCGTACACTTTATTTGCATCTGCTTCGTTGGAACGCTGCAAAATTACAGAGCATGTACCAGCCTTTATGGTGGATCGAGTTACCTCTATCGCCTATTACAAAATTCTTAAAGGTCTGCTACTATACCCAGATGCAAATGTCCTTGAGGTTCCCACAGCTTTCTGCCATCAAGATGGAGTCAACGGTTTCTCCCACGACCCAAGTAAATAGATTAAAAACCTGCGACCTCTGCGACGGTATGGAAATTAGTTGCTGGGGTATTGAGGGCCATAAATTATCATACTCCTAATTAAAAACTGGCATCCAGTAGTTTGACTCTGCTGTAATAGATTTATCAACTTTATTCTGTTTAAAAATGTATGATAGGTACTGCAAGGTACCTCCGTTACTCCTCCGCCTAGCGCAGCATTTCCGGTGAATTAGATTACTTGCAATACCTAACAAGTTTCTAATTACAATATATTATACAGTACGAACTTACCATAACCTCACCCGATATTTAAAAGAATTTTCTTCCTAATGAAATGAGAATTCTTCTACCTCGCTGAGAATGTTTTATGGCACGACGAGTAAAATAATATCAAGTATGTATATACAAATTTGTATACATTGCATGCATATGAAATTTATTTTTTAGTTGCTATTAAGCTATACGCTGGAAATGAAAAATAAGTAGAAGAAAATAAATTTGACAAGGAGAGATAGAAAAAGTATAGCTTAGAATATATAATAGAAAAGCAGGGCGTTTTTAATACTTCTACTTTTTTATATAGGTCCGATAGTTTTCAAGATGTTTGACCGAACCCGTTAATAAAAATGGCGGCAAACGCTCCAGCCCTATCATGACGCCAATTTGAACTTGTCATTAGGAATCAGTAATCTAGCGATACCACCAAAAAAACTCACTGTCGTCAAAAATTTACATAGGAAAAATAGTTATTTATTATACAAGGGAAAAAAGTACCATATCTGTAAAATCTAGTATTTTTCCCGTGTATAATACACAATTTTCTTCTGTGACGGGAGAAACGACGATTTAATATTAAAAAATTATATTACACCTATTGCAATATTTAAGTCAGAAAATTATCGATGTGAAACTTGAATTTTGTAATTAATAGGCTATGTTGTACTTATAGCGACAATTAGACCTACGTTGCTAAGGTAACTTTTAAAGTAATCAAATAGCTGTCAATTTAATTTTGTGATTTGATTTAAAAAAGTGCTGTTTAGAAGTCATTTTCAATAATATAAAGTAAAAAATGTATGATTCCGAGTTTTATCTGACTCTAACACCGGAATTAGTAGAAGTAGCCAAAGTAGCGTCACAAATATTATTGCTAGCTAAATCGCGGAAAATGTACGAGACATTAGCCGTATTCATAAAACAAAAGATATCCTTGTACTTGCAAATTTTGAAGGAAATCCTCCAGATAGTATTTATAATAATTTCAAGTAAATGCTTTTGCTTTTTGAGTATAAGCATATCCTTCAAAGCAGTGACATAATTGAAAGGATAATCATAATCTTCACCTTATACTTGGCATAGGAAGCATATCGTTCAAAGATTCTGAGTGTGGTCAGTAGCAGACTCAACTTCGTAACGAAAGGTGGTCAAACGGTGATGGCGGAAATTGTGGATGTTAGGGATGTTAAAACGTACAAACCTCGTTTACCTTCACTTGGTCGTGACTTCAAAAAATTATTTCGGTTCGACGAAGCAAATGTACAATGGCTTGCGGACAGATTTTTAGTTGATAATGAGGAAACTCGAGGAAGAGCACTTTCATGTAGTCATAAAATGAAGATATGTCTACGCCATCTCGGTGACCCTGGATATCAACAAGGTATTGGTCAGGAACTTGGTGTTAGATAAGCAAGCAACGGTATCACGGACTGTGGATAGGGTTGTGAACAGCATAGTTGCACAATCGAACGAATGGATCAAGTTTCCAACTACCAACCGTGAACTGATGGAGGCCAAGCGGATATGGCAAAGCATGTATAAATTTCCGAGAGCAATTGGTGTAATTGATTCACCATGGAGATGAGTATATCAATCGAAAAGGGAAACCTACTTTAAATGTGCAAGCCACTTGTGATGCCAGAGAGATGTTCACAAGTGTTGATGTCAGTTGGCCTTAATCAGTGCATGATTCCAGAAAATGGAGAAATTCACAGACTAGATCACAACTAATAAATAAAGCAAATGTTGTACTACTTGGCGATGACGGTTATGGTATTGAGCGATGCCTTATGACTCCCTTCAGGAATCCTACTCCAAGTGCAGAAATAAATTATAATAAGCTTTTAAAACAAGAAAGAGTTACAATTGAACGCTGTTTCGACTAACTGAAACGGCGGTTTCCTATCCTACAGTATGTTTGCCGCGCAAAGTTGAAAAATGTGCCGAAAATAATTATTGCTTGTATTGTAACTCCATAATATTGTGAAGAGCTTGGGCGATCCTGACTTTGTGTTAGTTGAACAAGACCCAGATGAAGATGAAGGAAATCATGAGAATGACGAACTTCCTCTCCGCCAACTAGGTCAACAAATAAGAAGAAACTTGAGTATTATAATAAATAGTTTTACTGATTAAAATCATAAGTTACAGGTGACTTCTGACGCTGCATCATTACTAATTTCGCTTTATAATACTCTTGTTGTATAATACTTATTTGGTACTGCTGTAATTGCACTAGACGTTGCAGTTCTTCTGTAGTTAACCCTTTGGTCTACTAATTTTCGCATTTCTCTGTTGCTAATTTTCTTTTTGGTGGCAGTGTCTTCTGAATTGTTGGCGCTGTAATACTATTTGCTCACTGCGCTCGGTATGTAGTTCACTTCCTCCTTCTTGAACACTACCAACCTGAATGGCACCTCTAATTTTCCCAATTGTCGGATTACAGTCACCTTCTATAGGTTTCAGTAATTTTCTTTAACAATCTAACAATTTAATTGCTTTATTACCAGTTTTTTTTAGATCTGTTTCTTTCTTCTCTGTTGACTTCATGTTGTCGATTTTTTTAATAAGCCTTTAGTATCTAATGGTTTACCGAATGTTGATTCGTATTTTTTCAGCATCTTCGTCAAGGCATCGTCCTTTCTCATTTTTATTTCTGAAACTTGTGACTTTTGCAAAATAATGGGGGCAATGGAATTTCATCTGCGATGAACTGCAGGTGGTTGCCATTATTTTCTATAGTTTCCTCATCACTTGAGGATGACATGCTTATTAATTTGATAAAAAACTGTATCCAGTAAAAATACAGATCGGTCTGTGTAAGCTCTGGAGTACAACGGTCAGTGATGCTGAGAGAATGAACTCCCACGTCAACTACAAGCTGGAACAAGTCAGGACATGTCGCCCAAGATACAAATACCAGTCAAAGGTTGACTGCTTTTATTTGTTCTTGGAGGATATCCTCGCGAGTATAAGGTAATCATTGATCATGAATATGAAAACAAGAATATGCATATACTTCTACCCTGTTCTCCGAAGCAAGACCTTATACTTTTACCTTATGCTTCCCAGGATATGCTTCTCTTTTATGAATACGGCTCAATATGCGGGAAAAAAGTACTCATCTTTTTCCGGGGAAAAAGTAATTACATAAAAAGTGACATTTTGTTACCTGTCAACAGAGACAAAATGTCAAACTGTTTTCCCGTCACAGAAAAAACACGTAATAACACAAGAAAATTCGACTGTTGTACCGAATAATTTAAGGAACGTGACATTCATGCAATGCACATTTAACAATTGTACCTACTTTTGATACAAAGGAAACGTAACTTTATTCTATAATAAAATATTGGAAAATTAAATATCTACCGTTGCTTATGAGTTTATACAATATCCGGGACAAAAGTACTTATTTTTCCCCCGGGAAAAAGTAATTTCATAAAAACTGATATTTTGTTACCTGTCAACAGAGATAAAATTTCCAACTTTTTTCCCGTCACAGAAATTACCTATCGCCTGGCCTAATTCTTGTAATGGAAAATACCTGATTAATTATAGCTCCAAGGAAAAATCTTTTACATACGTTTCTACAAAAAACTCATATCCCTTGTTTTATTCAAAAACGAAGTATTATTTGCATATTCTATTTTCCTGATATTCACATTCGCAAAATATTTAGCCGAATTCTTTTGTTATTTCGTCACTTGGAGCCAAATAATACAATTTATTGTTAAAAAATCAACGACATCTCCTGGATTTAAAACCGTGATGCCAAAATATATTTTCAGTTTCAGACGAATAAATGTATTTAAATCCACCTTTCAACAAGAATTATTCAATTATACACCAGTAAAGGCAAACATGCAGGAGAGAGCCAATAATACTAATATCCAGCCGCTTAATTAGTAGCTCGTAGTAATAATTACATATAGTATATTGTGCCGCCACACAATTTTCACACTCCTGAAATATCATCATCGTCAGTTTGTTGTTCAAAAGCCTATGAACGACTTATTCATAAATTATGTCGGTATATTCACCGGAAAAATGTATCTATGGCAAAGTTTCAAATTAATGAAATCTGTTTTTACACATAAAATTACAACATTTGTGCGAGTTATATGGAATTGATAAATGAATAAATTTTGTTAAATAATGTTAATTAAACCTACTTAGTGAACAAATGCGCAATATATCCCTCTATATCACAGCAACAATTTCATTGTGACGAATCGGATTAATTTCTGCAATCAACATATTTTAACAGTCCCATAATCCAATCTTCTTTGTTGGAATATAGGTTGATTATTTGATCACAATGGTGGATGGATGGAGAATGCGGAGCAACAACTACTGTTTCATTGAATTGCGTACATGTGACGTCAAATGTGTAAGTGATAAGTTCGGATGGCGCGTACCAGCCTCAGTCTGAACGAGGTGGCGTGAGTTTGTCTCTAATGACCTCTAAAAATCACCCTCATCCTATACCTATACTAACAAGTCCTAATAAAATAAAATACTGAGCACCGATACCTGAAGAAAACTACTGCTCTGCATCTACAACTAATACGACTTCATCGAAAATCACGCACTGGTTCTTCCTTTGTTTACTCATAAATAGGAGATTATCTGGTTCGCAGAAAATGTCATCTGTCTAACATTAACCAGTACCACATCCTCAACATTGCATGTTTTATCATTTCATATTCCTTTGATTCGGAATCTCTATTATTTCAAGTATATCCCGAGTGACATCGGTCTACGAGTACCAGTAGGATGAGAGATCCGCAGACAGCGCGACAGTCCATTTAAACAAACAAATATATTCATGAGTTTGGTTAGACAGCAGTTACATTTGTGTGCTCTGCATATATTGGGTTAACACTCCAAACGCAAACTTAGTCCTAGGCACAAATGCTTAAGCTTATATGGTAAACATGATGGTGGACCTTAGACCTGCAGGCAAGGATTCACTACTTGACTTGATTTTCAAGCTACTCGTACTTGTACAAGTATTAGATATCAGCAATCTGATATCAAATCAAGTAGTTTTTACGTTGTCCAAGTAAGTACTTAAAAGTTCAAGTAGTCGTGATATTGTTTGATAATTTTTGTAACATAAATACAAGTATTATGAATATACAACGGAAAAACTTTATTTGTCACAAGTTTCAGAGGAAACAATACATATTGAACAAATTAATTTTGTTGATTGTGTGTACAGGCACCCAGCAAAACAGTTTCAATTCTGACTGTCAATGAAAAATTGAACTTATTGTTCATATAATACAGAAAGTATTGTTAAATAATAAATGCTATTGGTAATAGGTGAGTTTCACCTGGTAAGCATAATCCACTAATTGTTTTACAACTACTCGTCGTTGCTTGTCAAGGCGGTCCGGAGGACCTTAGCCTTTAGGTCATAGTCACTGTAATGTCAGTGTCTGTCGTCAGTCTGTCAGGTCTGGTGGCCCAGAAGCCAGACAAGTTGTAGGGGAAAGGGGGAGAGGGAGAAAGAAAGGAAGGAGGTAGGAGCCAGAAGAGAAAGAAAAGGAAAATTATGTAAATATTTGAGGTGTTATAAATCGAAAAACTGTTACATTGTACTATATAAATTTTTGACTTGTCATGAACTGAATTTTGGGTCTTTGGTTTTTAAAAGCTATAATTTTTAGAGGTCTTTTGTTCACAGTGCGAGTCGCGGTATGGAATGGTTGCGTATCTCCTCAACTGTGTAATCCACTGCTTCACGCAACAAAGGGTTGCTGTTGGATTCCGCTTGTGGGTAGCGCCATTGTAGCATACCTATGATGTAATCCCTAAGGTAGGGGATGTCAAGATCTCTATAGATTGTACCGTTTGATACATACCATGGGGCATTAGTTATTCTTCTGAAAGTTCTACTCTGCAGAACTTGTAGTTTACCAAGCCGTACATGCCTAGGTTATTGCAGGTCTGATGATGGCTTTGTATATCCGAAGCTTATTGACCAAACCCAATTTTGATGATTTACATAACAGAGGATACAATTGCCGAAATGTAAGTTGGAATTTAAATTTCAGTTATTCAATGTGTGACTGTCAATTAATACCCTTTTTGAGCGTAAGACCTAATTATTTGGCTTTGTTAGCCCATGGTATCGAAACATCATCCACAGTAATCTCTGAGGGGGCACCACGGCGCTTTTTTGTAAAATAGATAGCCTGTGTCTTTGAAAAATTAATTCTGATTAGCCACCGATTCGCCTACGCTTCTTGCAGCCTGTCATGGACTATGTTAATAGAACACGACTGGGCTGCTAATGCGGTGTCGTCGGCATAGAGGTAGACTTTACAGTCACTGGGATGGGGGACGTCGCGAATGAAAATCGAGTATAAGAGTGGTCCTAAGACAGATCCCTGCGGAACTCCGGCCCGAATGCGCCGTGTTGTAGAATTGTTTTACTCTAGCCTTGTAGCAGGATGCTTCCATATGTCCAAAATTCAAAGGGTGGTGGATAAGACTATTTTACTCTGAAAATTTTTGAAAAAACACGCTTCGTTTTAGAGCCAGAGGACGAACAAACTTTCCAGAAGTTTTGAGCTCCTTCATTCACAAGAACTGTCTGAAACAACGACTTTCAACTAGGATGCAGTCCTCCAGGCTCTTTCGCAGAAACTACCAAATCTTTCAATTACCCCATGACCATTTTTTATAGTATTATTCTATTAATTAATAACTTAGTGACTTAGTCCACGGCCTTCACATGTTCAACAAAATTATTTATTCTTAAAAATAACATCCAAGGAAAAGTCAT